CACCACCTCTGACTCTAACAATCTTTCTGCCCCCTTCTGCAATGGTCCCTGAACCTTGAGTGGCAGAGATTTAAAACAGGTGTCTTATTCAGGGATAAGCACTCTGCAGTCTCTTGTTCTCTGCACATTGGCCAGTTGTAGGTCTCTGGGTTAATCATCATCTGCTGCGTAAGGAAATGTCAACATTACTGGAGGCACTAGCATGTGTAGCATCCAGTCACATAAGCACTGCATGCTGCCAACAATATCGTAAAGGACATGGATTTTGGCCACTCTCTGCCTGTTCACTAGGTAGGCCCACTGTTTCAAAATATAGGTTTCATTTACACTGAAATTTCATCTCACCCCAATCAGAAAAACTTACAACAAATGATGTTAAGGAAGTGGGCCAAAAGGCACCTTTCCACATTGTTGATGGGAATATAAATGAGTACAGTTACTATGGAAATCAGTATGGTGTTTTCTAAAAACTAAAAGTGGAACTACCAAAAGATCTAGTTACATCACTCTTGAGTATATACCCAAGGAAAACAAAGTCAATGTAATGAGATACCTGCATATTCATGTTTATTACTATACTATCATGCTAGCAAAGTACTAAATCAGCCTGCATGTCCATCAAGAGATGGATAGAGAAAATATCAGCCCCACACACACACACATACATGCACACATTGCCCAATCTAGTCATAAAGAAGGATGAAATCATGTCATTTAGAAGAAAACATATGAACTAGAGGTCATGATGTCAGATGAAATAAGACACATGTCTTATCTCTGTGAGTTCAGGGTCAGCCAGGGCTATATAGTGAGATCCTGTCTCGAAAAGAAGGGAAAGGAAAGGAGAGGGGAGGGGAGGGGAGGGGAGAGGAGGGGGAGATGGGAGGGAGGAGGGAAAGGGAGAGGAAGAGAGAGAGGGAGAAGGAAAGGAAAGGAAGAAGGAAGGAGAGACGAGAAAAGAAGGAAAAAGAAAAAGGAAAGAAAAGAGAAAAAGAGAAGACGGGAGGTGGAGGAAGAGAACGGGAGGGTGAGCCTGGAGGGGCATCCCAGGCTAGCTCCTGTAGAACCCAGAGGTTAGTCAGCATTTTATTCTTGATCTTGCAGTTTTACTCAGGTTTCCCAGGAAAGATAACTTCAGATTTTAAGTGGTGAGAAATATAATCAAATCTGCACTTTAAGATTTAGTCTACATGGTTGGGCATGGTGTCATATGCCTTTAATCCCAGCACTTGGGAGGCAGAGGCAGGCAGATATCTGTGAGATCCAGGCCAACCTGGTATCAACAGTCAGCTCTAGGTCAGCTGGGGCTACAGGGAGACCCTGTCTCCAAAAAAAACAGGGGGCTGGAGGGATAGTTTTTACTCTGGATGCAGTGATATTACAGTGGACATAAGGAGGCTGGTTTAGAGACTGCAAGTAAAGATATGAGAATGAGAATGATTTGTAGGCAGATCATAGCCAGTGAAATATGTTTTATTTTATTATTGTTATTTTTATTGTTGTTGTTGTTACTGAGGGCTGAAGTCAAAGACTGGCAGTACTAGGCAAGGACTTTACCAACTAAGCTATACCCTTAGCCGTGATTGTGTTTGGGGGTGGAGGAAAGCTTTGGCTTATGAGACAGGGTCTTTCTAAATTGACCAGGTTAGTCTTGAACTCATCTGTAACTCAGGCAGGCTGTGAGTTTTGGCAATCCTGCCTCAGTCTCTCAAGTAGCTGGGACTATAGGCTTGCACTACCAGGCCAGGCTGAGACACATTTTCAAGTTACAGGATATCTAAAATCCTTGAGTCCAAAAGTGTTTCAGGGTTTCTTGATAAGATGGAAATTTGCATATTTATAAATGAGTTATACTAGAGATTGAACCTAATCTAAACACAAATTCATTTCTGCCTCATATATATCTTACATACTTGCTCCAGTTTTATATAATATTTTTAGGGTTTCAGACTGTGTGCCATAACATGAGATTGTGTGACCTTTTCACTGTGACATTGCTTTGTAGGTTTTGGTTTCCAGGCTCTGAATCAGAGACTTTCAGACTGCAGGGAGTCTCATCAGAATGCTCTATCCTGAGTAACTGGCTACATGGTGGTACCATCTCCTATGCTGAGAAACACTAGGCAAAGAAAGCTTGAAGAAAATAGCATGATTTATGGTTAGACCTCTTCAATATAAGATGACTGAAAAGCATCTTCTCTGAAGTTTGAGCATCAATTGAATGCATCATTCTGGAGTTCTGAAGTTAGAAATAGAAGCTTGAATTCAGTCATTCTTGGAACTCTCCTTTTGCTTGTTCTTTGTAACTGAAAACTCCTTGTTGACTTCTCATATTATTGTGTATCTTTTAGCCACATGCTCCAGTACATTAAATAGTGTTGTCCCTCCAAAATTTATGTCCAAGCATAACCTATGAATATGACACTATTTGTAAATTTGGCTGTTGTCACCAAGTTAAGTCATACTAGATGGAGAAGAGCTCTAGCTCCAACAACTAGTGTCCTTATGAGAACGAACAGACACAGAGGGAAAAGGGCCATACAAAATCAGAGACAGGAATCAGAATGCTGCAATAAGCCAAAAACTGCTGAGTATCTTAAGCAATCACATGAATCTAGACAGAGAAGGGAAAGATGCTCCTCTGCAGCTCACGTGCCAGGTGCTGCTGGAAACTCGATTTCAGACCTCCAGCCTCCAGACCTGAGAGAAGGCATTTCTGTGGTTTTAAGGCACCCAGATTGGGGTTACCTGCAATTGCTAGCCATGTAGCTTAATCTGCTCCCTGGTCCTTGATTTCCTTTCCATGTCAATGGACCACAAATCTTCACCCGCTGAGAACTTTCATTTCATCTGTTTGCTCTACTCTCCCTCCCACCTATAATAGAAGCCTTTGTCACACTCACCTCATTGTTATGAAAAATCTAATTCCATGTGTTTCTTTTCCCCTTCTCCAAACTCAGTACCCTGGCAATCTTTAAAGTCACAAATATGAACAGATTAATTCATTAAGTAAAACACATCTATTGCAATTACAGTAAAGTCCAACATATGGATAACAACCCCTTTTATAATCCATCCAGGCCACGAACCCAAAGTCAAGTCTCAGCTCCCTCTCCTCCACTCTTCCCAGTCCAGTCCATGTCTTTAGGTTCATCAACCTTGCCTTGCTTCTCACTATCTATTTATTAACTTCTGAAGCTCAGCACCCTTTTAGTCATATATGTAATACGTAAGTTTTATAAGAGTATAAACAGCATTTGTCATATCTTTGTCCATTTTGTGTTACTATAACAATATACCTGAGGTTAGGAAACATAAAATAAAAAGATTCATTTGGCTCACAATTTATTTGGCTAGAGGATTTAAACAGTATAACACCAAGGTTCTAGTGACACCTTGCGTGCATCACTACATCATAAAGAAAGGTAAAGTTTCCTAGCAGCACAAGGAAGTAAAACAAACACAGGACAGACTCATTTTATAACATATCATTGTCTCAGGAATGAATCCAACACGGCATGTTAGTGCATCTGTAACCCCAGCACTTGGGAGAATAAGCAGGAAGGTCACAAGTTTAAGACCAGCCCTGACTGTACATTGAATCTCTGTCTCAAAAAACAAGCAAACCAACAAAACACACAAACAAAAAAGAACTAATCTAGTCACAGAAGACCGGCCCAGAAAAGCATAATGAACCCATTTCTGCAGGGCACCATGACCTCATTCTTTTCCAGTGGTCCCCATCTCTTAATGCTTCCACACTGGTAACCATGTTTCCAGCCCGGGAACTTTCGTGAGACATCCCTAACCCATAGCAGCCAAGTTCATTAGTGTGTTCCCAGGGCCTAACACACCTAGAAAATACATATTGAAACAGTCCTGTTCCCAAAGGAAATGCATTACTAAATTAAAATCTCAGTGGCAGGGGTGCTCTGTGCTTCTATTTAGTTGGTCAACCTGATACTGCACTGCCTTAAGGCCTTTTGCAATACTTAGGAGCTGTACTTGGGCAATAGGGGAATACTGTGATTGTCCCAATCATTGAAACCATTGGTTTAGGCCTTAGGGTCCTAATCTGAGGATTATTTAATACCTTAACTAGATAGATAAGCTCAAGATTTGACTGGTTTGAAATGGATACAAAAGAAGTGTCAAGCCCACTGCTCAGTTACATTGGAGCTAGAGTGTCAGTATTAAGTGCTTTCACACTTTTGTTCAACAGAAATGAAATACTGAATCACATTTATTCTATAGATAGACCATGTATTAACACAACTGCGGACTCCTGTGCTGGCTCCTTCTAGGCAGACAGACTTTCTGCCTCACACCACTACATAGCAGGCTGCAGCCTGGCAGAGCTGTCTAGCGTACTCTGGACCTCAGTCACTAACAGTCATTTACGTCAAGGGCCACGACAAAAGAAATGACAGTGTATATGCAGGAGCAAGCCAGTGATTTAGACTATGTTTTGCATACTTTAATGGCATCTTTCTTACAAATAAATTCTACCTCTGGCCTATTGTAGAGCTGTGAAAATTATCCAAGCTATATCCTGAATCAGACCTACAAGTGTTCCTATCAGGGGTGGGCAACGGCAATGTGCTGCGGGTTCAGAGCTAGTCGCTCTGAAGGCTGTGATCAGTTTCCCCACAATTGCTGCTGGTCCTGGATTTATAGCTACATTGTGAAGCATCTTCATTTTTGAGGAAATATAAAGTCTCTGAAACTATGTATTTGCAGTTTTGAAACTATGCTTGCATTTTTCATCATCTAGGCTGGAACATCAGCATCCTGCAGGGCTTTTTCTAAGATCTAATCCTTCATTGCAAGACCAGCAGGTAGACAAGAGTGCAAGTTATCTGAGAACTCATCTCAGTTCATTTTCATACAACAATGGATCTCGATAACTCTCCCAGTGAATGGATAGATGAGTGATTTCCCTGTGAGTGTGAGAATGAGAGGAGATTGGGTTTTAGTCAAGTGTAAAAATTCTTCTGATGGTGCTCGACTTGGCAGCACATTCACTAAAATTGGCATGACACAGAGATCAGCATGGCCCCTGCACAAGGATAACATGTGAATTCATGAAATGTTCCATTTTTTAAAATTTAATTAAGATCTATTATATGAAATGCACAAAAATTCAATAATTTTTTTTAAAAAAAAACTCTTCTGATGATCTGTAAATTGGGGCAGGTCTTCACCAGATGATTGGGAAACACATTTGCATTCTTGAAGCTTTACATTTGAGAACACAGGTTTCACCACAGTGTCTACCTAGTGGTGCATATCTAGAAATTAGGATAGAGTTCATACATAAAGTAGTTGCCTTGTAAATTTATAGCTTTTTTCTAACTAATTATTAAATTACATTGGACTGACTGGTGAGATGGTTCACTAGGTAAGGGCAATTGCCACCAACCCTGATGACCTGAGCTCAATCTCCAGAATCTACATGGTGGAAGGAGAGAACTACTTTTGATCACCACAGGCATGCTGTGACAAGCACACAGCCACACATACACACACACACACACACACACACATGCACACACACACACATGCACATACACACAGAGGAACACACACAATAATAAATAAATAATAAATAATAAAAAATGTAACTTCAAATGTATATTATACCATTAATAAAATAAATACACTGTGGAGGGAGGAAGGAGGGCAAAGATTTATGGGATTAACTTCACAGATATCAGCATCCTTGGCTAGACAAAGTCAAAATTGTTGTTGGTAACTAAATATTTTCAAGGACTTTTCATTATTTTTAGCCAAAAGTTATTTTTATTTATTTCAAAGTAATATTGCTCAACTATTACATTTCCTGGCCTTCTTACTCAGCATGTTTTTATTAATGCTAGATGAAACTCATCCTAGGACAGTTGAGACAGTTCAGCAGGTAAAAACACCTGCAACCAAGCTCAAAGACCTGAGTTGGAGCCCCAGGATCCACATGATGGAACAGAGAACAGACTCCCACAAGATGTCCTCTGACCTCCACAAGCATGCTGTGGCTCATACACACATGCATGCATGCACATGCACATGTGTGGAAAAAGAGACAGAGACAAAAAGAGAAAGAGATACAGAAAGAGACAAAAAGACAGAGAGAAAAAAATAAATGTAATTGTTTTTAAATTAAATCCATCCTAAGAGAGGTTTTCTAACTTTGACAATATGACATATATTATAATATAATACACACATACACAAATACACAGATGTGTGTGCACCATTCCAGATTCTAAGGACATTCTAGAGTTGCTAAAATAAAGGGTTTTAGATAATCAAGGATATAATCAAGAAATTACACTATACAATTTTAATTTTCTGAAATATACTTACCTAAGATCATTTCAACTGGACGTTTTCTTCTTTGTTCCTGGTAGGAGTTTTAACTTTTTTTTATTTATTTTTAAATATTTTGTTATTTTTATTTTATGTGTATGCGTGTATTGCCTGTGTGTAGGTAAGTGCACCCATGTCGTGAAATGCCTGCGGAGAACGGAAGAAGCTGTTGGATCCCCTGGAACTGGAGTTAGGACAGTTGTTAGCTGCCATGTGGGTGCTGGGATTAGAACCCAGGTCTTCTGCAAGAACGACCAGTGCTCTTAATTGCTGAGCCATCTCTCCAGCCCCTTACTTATTCGTTTTAAAACATCAAGGTAAGCTCTAATCCAACATGGTTAGTGTCCAAGTAAGGAGAGAAGAATTGGGCATAACTATGCACACAGGGAAGACGGTGTGTGAAGATGAAAGCAGAGGTTGGAGACACAGCCATGGGCCAACAACAGAAAAGTTTGAAATCAAACTACCAAGACATAGAACGGAAACAGAGAGCAGATGACCTGATGCTTCTCAGAAAGAGACAACTCCGCTGATACCTTTACTTTCTTTTAGCTTCCCAAAACTGTGAAACAGTAAATACCTGCTATGCTAAGCCACCAAGTTTGGGAGACTTTGTTATAGTACCACTTGGATGAGTCCCTTTGGAAACAGTTCTTCCAGTCAAGCTTCCAGCTGGGGACAGCTCCCACACCCCCATCATTGTCTTGACTGCAACTTCCTGGGGCACCCTGCAGCACAGCCACCAGCTACACAGTTCCTGAATTCCCACCCCATGGAAATTGTGAGATAAGATTTGACGCTTTGGCTTCTTTTATGAATTGAATTGATTTTGCCTTCCCCCAAGGTCACTTCATACCTTGAAACCTGCCAAAGCTGAAGAGACACCAAACAAAAACACGTGCAAGTTTGGGTAATTCATCCAGGAGCAAGCAAAACATGATTATAATCCACTTTGTACCACTGTGAACCCCATGTACATCAGAGGAAGGACAAGGAGGGAAAGTTTTTTATTTATACAAAAGAGGGACTGAAGAGATGGCTCAGCATTAACAGCACTGGGCTCTTCCAGAGGACCCTGCTTCAGTTCCCAGCACCCACATGGAAGCTAACAACCACAGCCATTGGTAACTCCAGCTCTAGGGGAATCCAATGCCCTCTTCTGACCTCCATAGGCATTGCACAATACAGGTGCACTTACATACATGCAGGCAATACACTCATACAAATAAAATAAAATAACAAATATTTTCTTTAAAAGAGAGAGAAAAGTCACACAAACTGCTTAGAAAACAAAAACCTACTGTTCTTGGAAACCTGAAATCAGAGCAGGTATCAGTTCATTAGTGGAAATGTTATTGCTAGGTAAGTTTTCTCTATCCAGAGCAAACTTTTCTTTGTTGATACAGTGAAAGAACACTAAAGGTATGCACAGATTGTCTAGAACAGGAAGGAACGTCTCCAGCATTTTGTAGAAAGTCCAGGAGACAGTACTTATCTTGGAGAAGCAAGTACGAGTTCCCCTTCATGACTTCCAGATGCTGACAAACACAGTTCCATCTTGGCATCAGCAACTTTCCAAACTCTAACCCCCAATGTGACCATATTTGGAAAAAGAGACTTTAAACAGGTAAATTAAAGTTAAATGAGTTCATAAGGGTAGGCCTGATCCTACTGATACTCTTAAAGAAAAGGAGACATGAGGGATGCAGGTGCCTCGGAGAAAATGCTAGACGGGTACACAGAGGAAAGAAAACCATCCATAAGCCAAGGAAAACAGCCTCTAAGACACCAGGCTGCTGATACCTTGACCTTGTGCTGACAGTCTTCCGGCCGTGAGAAAACAAATTCCCATTGTGTGAGACCCTTGGCTGTATTTCATTTCAGAAGCCCGAGCAGACTAATTCACTTGCTACATTTGGGAATTACTTGTAATAGGTAACATACTTTTGCACTTCATTCCTCAATAAATACATCTATTTTTCATCTCACCACCCAGAAGTATTTCAACAATTTAGCTACAAAGTATGAAAATCTGAAATATAAGCAAAGTTTCTCTGAACAAAAGTGTATTCTTGTGTTTTGTTTTTTGCTTTGTGGTGCTAAGGATTGAACCCAGGGTCCTGTGTATGCTAGGCAAATGCTGTACCCCTGAGCTACAACCCGACACCAAATATGGAGTTCTAAAGCTTGATTGTCTTCGTGTTTATAGAATGAGGCTCTGTTAAGTTGAAAAATAAGTCTTCTCTTGAGTGTCCTGCAAGAGAAAACGGTAGGAAATGACAATTAGGCTGTGTGTGACTTTGTTTGATTTTAGACTGTAACCATAACCAAGACCATAAAAGATCAAATGAAAAGAAAAAACTGTTTCCGATTCAACTGTGAACTTCCATGTATTAGAAATGATCACTCCCTTCGGTATCCTTTACTTCACAGCTAGCATCTTCTAGACTCTGCCTTATATGAAACCGCTGACCCCTCCTGCTCTTAGAGAGCAGTGAGTTGTCACAATCAACTTTTAAAGTTCATTACATTTCTCTGCAGAGAGTAAGGATTCAATAAGTGTTTGGAGAAAGAATCTGGCCTCCTCAATTCTAGCCTCAGGCAGTCCTAAACTAAGTCTTTAAAGTGTTAGCCCTGATCTTAAGCTTTGCTTATGGTCCCTCAAGAGAACTATTCCCAGACTCTTGTCAAAGCCAGAGTCTAGCCTCTGACAATCAATTTTTACCTTTGACTTGCAACTTCAAATTGGTAAATTCTTCCCCACTTAACTCTTGCCTGTTGTGGTTTGAATGTGAAATGTCTCCCATAAGCTCATGTATTTGAACATATGGTCCCTAGCTGGTGGGGTTGTTTTAGAAAGTTGTGGAACCTTTAGGAAGTAGAGTCTTGTTGGAAGAACTGAGGCAATGGGGAAGCCTTGGGGTTTTACAGCCTAACCTCACTTCTTGTGGGCTTTCTGCTTTCTGACTGCAGAGGCTACATGACCAGACACCTCACTCTCCTGCTTCTGTACCTTTCTGTGAAGATGGATTGTATTGCCTCTAATTTTAAGTCAAAATAAAGGTTTTCTCCCTTAACTTGCATTTTGATAGGAATTTGGTCACAGAACTAAGAAAAATAACTAATTCACAGTCCATTTTCCACCTGCTATGGCTATATTCTGTCTTGCATTTCTCTAACCACTACCCTCCATCTCCCTGCATCCTACTATGTTGACTGTGATGGGACACTTTGCCTCCCTGCCTGGCCAGAGCATAATCCAGTTTATAATCAGCTAGCATCCCAACCATCTTATCTGTTTAATACCACAGAAAGCCACATAGAAAATGCAGCAAGCCGTTTAAAGGTTAAGAACCCGTATCTAAAGATTTAATGATCTTATATTTCTATAGTTTGGGTTCTCTGAAGACCGAACTCATGCACTGTAACAGCTTGTGCTCTAATACTGATTGGTCAGGCTGCAATAGGGTCTTTTAGGCTTGAAGTTATTATTATAATCTCCAAAACCTCTCTCACCAACCCCAGTACAACCCTCTGGTATAGAAGCTATCTACTGTAGTCAAACATAAACATGACATCTCAGATTTTAATAAAGTCTCATTTTCCAGAGACCTGCTTTAATGCTGTTTGTGCAACTGTTCTTTAATAATTTTGGAACTCACCTAGTACATGGTTCAGACATCTTGCCTGTCAAATGTACTCCCAATGAGCTTTGTTAGCGTTTTCCTCCTCCTTTAAATCATTGTGAACCTAGGACAAGTTCTCTTTGTAAGAAAATCAACCAGATAATTCATGAAATCATACTTGATAATCACTGTATCTCAGTCATAGGCAACGCACTTCAACATAATTCTTACATAATGAAAATTCAGAAAATTCAAAGGGATAAGAAACCCTAAAATTGAGATGCTCAAAAGAAGTCTTTTAAAATATGTGTCACAGGAGCTGGAGTGATGGCTCAGCAGTTAAAAGCACTGGCTGCTCTTGCAGAAAACCCAGTTTCAGTTCCCAGCACCCACATGGCCAGCTAATAACCTTCCATAATTCCAGTTCCATGGGATCTGATGCCCTCTTCTGGCCTCCATGGGCATTGTACAACATGGCTGCACTTACATACATGCAGGCAATACAGTCATACACATAAAATAAAAGTAATAAAATATTTTTGGTTGGTCTTTTTGAGACAGGGTCTCCCTGTTACCCCAGCTGTCCTGGAACTCACTATGTAGACCAGGCTGGCCTTGAACTCACTGAGATGGCCTGCCTCTGCCTCCTAAGTGCTGGGATCTAATAAAATATTTTTAAAGATGTGTCAGCTCTCCCCACTCACTTTACCAGGCTCAGATCTTTGGAGAAAGTGTTACTGGAATTTATCTGGGTCCCCTTGGAGACTTGTCAGGAGAGTGCCAAAAGTCTTACTGATGGAAAATGAAAATTTAGCCCAGCAATGGGCGGAGCTGTCAAAATGTTCAGTCTGGTGGCCAAAGAAAGCTGGCATGGAGTAGATTGATAAGAATGCACCAGGCTGGGCGCCTGTCACCCAGCTCCCTGCAATGAACCAAAGTGACCACCAGAGGGTACTGAAGGATTAGGATCTACACCTCGCTCCAGCCTCCCCTTTCAAAGATTGGAGGCCAGTATTTTGGCCATTAGGATGCCGCGTTTCGCGACTCTCAGCTGCAAGGTCAAGAGTCCGCTCGCTCTCTGTGTATTTAGGCACTGGGCCGGGCTGCACTTGCGCATTGCAGCTGAGGGCTCAGTTCTCTGGTCCCTCCACGTCCGCCCATGACCAGTGACCGGAGGTGCCCGCGGTCAAGCTGCCAAAGGCTGCACCGAGGAGGAGGGAGAGGGCGTGGCCTGGGGCAGCCCAGCCGGGGCTGATTCCTTCTGCAGGTGAACTTTGTCCCTGCAGCCGCCGGCCCGGGCCTATTTAGGACCCAGACATCAAACACAGCCTGCAGCCCAGCCTGACAGGTTGGGTGACTCTCTGCAGCTCTACGAGGGGACAGCTAGCCCTGCACCCCGAGTGAAGAGTGAGGAGGACACTCTTGGCCGGACAGTTTGGCTTTTCTAGTCCTGAGCCACGGAAGCTGCGTGCTGTATGACTAGCGGTGACATGAATTACGCACGGTTCCTCACTGCAACCAGCATGGCCAGAAAGCCTTCTCCTATCCGAAGCACGGGTGAGAAATGTGGCCAGAGCTTCTCCTGCCCTCCCAGAGTGCAGCCTTCCTTACAAGCGGTTCGGCGACGGTGCCCTGCCAAGCCACCGCGGGGTTGCACCCATTCCTTCAATTGCGGAGGCTCTCTGTGAGTCAGGCTCTCTCTGGGAGCAGAAGAGGCTGTGGTCTCAAATAGCGTTGGAGGAGTTGAGCCAGCCAGACAGGCTCAGCTGTCTGCCTTGAGACATGTCCTTGGAAGGGAGGTTGTGGACCAAGGTTCTATAGGAATATGGGTGTAGATGAGTGTAGAGTGGGCAGACCTGAGAAATGGGAGCCAGGAGCAGAGCTGGGAACCACCACGTGGGTCGGAAACAGCTAAGTGGGGAAAGGCTTTCTACTACTGTGTGTGGCCTTTTGTTTACTCCAGAACCTTCTGCCTTCTCCCTGGCCATCCCCATTCTTCCATCTTCCACCGCTGAGGAAGCCTAGAAAAGATTACTCTGTTTATTTCAAAGTAGCATTTTGTCTTAGTCCAGTAGGAGGCTGGATCAAAATAGCATAAATTGGCAATTCAGAAGCAGCAGAAATGGCTTCCTCTTGGTTCTGGAGGGTGGGAAATCCAACATCTGGAGGCAGCAACCTCAATGCCTGGTAGGGGCCATTCCCTAAGGATGGACACTCCTGCCTTGTCCTCACGTAGTGGAAGGGGGCAAGGACCTGCTCTTAGAAGGGCCTCTTCTGGGACTCTTTTTTAAGGACACTAATTCCATTCATGAGGGCAGAGTCCTCATGATCTAATCTTGTCCTTTAATAAGGTCATATCAATACTAGGTTCAAATACAGGAACTGAGCAGAGACACTTAGAATCATGCTATAGCACATTCCGTCATTAGAGACTGTTAAACATTGTGGCTGACTATAATGCATACTAATGCATACTGAACTATATCCATTGATATTATTTTTCAAGAGAAACTTTCCTTCTTTTCACCCATGTTTATCACAGCTGATATAATAAGTAGAGCACCCAAATCCCTCATCTCCTTGGCTCCTGGATATCCAAACCCAAGCATGTTCCCCTTCAAAGCTTCTACTATAACTGTGGAAGACGGAAGTACCATCCAATTTGAAGAAGAGATAATGAAGAGAGCCCTTCAGTATTCTCCAAGCTATGGGTAAATTATCAATAATATCTTTTTATTGACTCATTATCACATCCCATTGATAAAGTGACATTTCTCTTTTAATGTGGTGGGCAGTGACTGGGGAAATTTGAAGAAGAATCTCCAAATATTAAGAACAAAAGGGATATTAAATGTTTCACACCCTCCAGTGACTGCCTTTCAACCATAAATGACTGGGAAAGCCAGGAAAGATTCTGGAAATATCATCTGAGTTGAATGTGACACTGAGAAGATTGCTAAGTGTAGAAGTATAGTAGAAAAAGGGAGCAACTGGATAATGCAGTCTTTGGGCAATTTTCTAATAATGATGTGTCTTTTTAAACAGGCAGTTGTATAACTACATTGCTTTTATAAGTACAAGTGTCTTTAATTGCTTAAAGACAAGCTGAACCATCACATACCTTAAGACAGTCTTTATCTGGTCTTCTAATGATAAAGACTAGTTGATTAGGCCTGTCAATTATACTTTATTGAAAGCATTTGTGGGCAGGTGTGATGGACACGCCTGTAACCCCAGCATTTGGAAACCTGAGGTAGGAGAGTTACTAATTCAAGATAGCATGGGGAGTACACGTTGCTCAAAGTCAGCCTGAGCTCCAAAAGACTATCTAAATAATATTTGTGATTGAAGAACTTATTGAAATGTATTTCATTAATATGTGTGCATGTGAATTGAGCCTAAATTTCTAAACTCCTAAGAGGCTTATAGAAATCTTCATCGTGAAACAAAGAATCTTCTATGTAATGAATATTTTAGAAAGAAAGTGAGCCTTCAGGCTTTGAAATAAGTATGATGTAGATTCAAAGTTCAGTTCATTGATTAAATGATTGACTTTAAGTGAATTTCTGGATGGTTGAAGTTATGTGACTCTCTTAATCTCTAAGTCTATTGCCTCATCTTTTAAGTGAGAATATTGATACTGCCAAAAAGCATTTGAAGAATTTTAAATTGAATGTATAATGAGTTTGATATTAAACTACAATTTATTTCCTGTCTACTATTTCTATGATTATTACTACCATAAATTTAAAAATGCATTTTATGCCTTAGAATTCCAGAACTTCTGTCCTGGCTAAAACAGCTGCAAATAAAATTGCATAACCCTCCCACCGTCAACTATGCACCCAGTCAAGGACAAATGGATATATGCATCACATCTGGCTGCCAAGATGGTCTTTGTAAGGTAAGACTCAAAGGAAAAAGGAGCCCACATATGAAATCAAGTATGTTCTTCAACATAGTCACCTCTCACTCTCTACAAAAGGATGGAATTTGAGGGCTACTGGTCGTTTCTTTTGTCTCCACCTAGAATTATAAACTCAAAGCCAAAAGACAGAATGGGAAGGTTGACTATACACAAAATCCTGCTAGAAATGCTCTAGGTTAATTGATTGATGTTTCCTTCTGGTTTCCTTTATCATGACCATGAAGACTTCCAAAAATTATCTGCCATCAATCATTTACCAGTCTGATTTTTCCTAAATACAGAGCACATGAAACCATACCCTAGGGCTGAGTCATTAAACCAAATTCTCACTAGGGGAGTGTACAACTTCACCCAAATCTTTGTGAATACTATTTAAGATCACCTGGCTCAAAGATTCAGGTTACTTTTGATTTCTTCCTGTAGTTACAAAATTTCAATATGATTTTTTTTAATTTTAGAGGGCATACCCTCATATTCCTGAACTGAGAATAGTGTTCTTCTCTGTGCCTGCTTATGGGGTCTCCGTGCATACCTTGCTAGCATTCTTTCACCTTCTTGACTGTTCTTCTCTAGACTTACATACAGGTGCTTTTCCACTAACACTGGAATCCATCTTGGTAAGCCCATCATAAGTTTAAAATATGGTAAGTCAGAAAGGCATTTAATACCTGATTAGCTTTTCCTACTATCTGTTATTAAGTCACGTGTGTCACTCAAGTTCTTTGGTGAAGGGTGTCCTATGGAGGCTGAGTCCATTGCGGACTTTTTGGAAGACTGTATGTTTTTAAGATGTAATAATAGTAGTTTAAAAGACTGATACATTAATCATCAGTCCAAACTAGGGAACAAAAGCCAATCTTCTGGCTCAGTTATAAATAGCCCTATTTTGGTTGTTCAATTTAAGCCATTTAACTGACAGGAAGAATGACTTGGGGTGAAAACCATGAGATATCATAGAGTATGAAAGGATTAGTCTATGACTTCTATATGACTGAGTCGTAAGAGACCCTGTAGATTTTTGTATGGAAAGCCTATCGCCTGAAATAAATGTCAGGATACTTCACATCATCCACACCAGCAAACCTCACCTTGCTTCATCCCTAAATACTGTTTAGCCACACTGACCACGTCACTTTCAACACTGCAGCTCCCTCCTTGCATGGCTATCCCACCACCAGCGTAGCCTTCTTCACATCACACTTCTCTGCTTTGCTGGTTCCCTGGGGTTTCTTCCACCTCAATCCTTGAGCATCTCATCGCCTACAATCTGTGCTTCATCTGACTGCTTCTTTTCACACCCACGTGATCAAGCACATGCCTGCCACTCCCTTGCTCTTTCCACATGCACGTTTCCATCCATCCACCTAACACTATGGCAGAATATTTTAGTGGCAGCTCAAACCCAAACATCTCCTTATCTTGTGTTTGGGTGGATGGTACCAGAAATCTAGGGTCATTCTTGACAACTCTTCTTCATTGCTCCCCCCACAGTCACAAGCATGTCAAGTTTTCATTTACTAAATACCTCTCAGGTCTTCCCTGTCCCACCTCTCTAGCTCAGACTACCTGTGACTGTATCAAGGACCATAGCAGCAATTTCCCAAATAATCCCCCAAACTTCCCATTCATGCTCCCCCTCTTCTCCTACTCTTTCATACTTCAGTCAGAGAAATCTTCCCAAACTAATAATGTGGCTCCTCTTCTTCGTGCCTTTCTTAAAACCCTTAATCAACTCACATGGCATGAATGCTTACAGGATGTGGTCTCTTCCCATGCCTGCCTCTTTCTCTCCATCCTCTTCCAGTCCCAGGATTCCTTCAGTTTGTCAGAATGTATCAAAAAGTACCTATTTTCACCTCTCCTCATAGACACCAGGCCATTACTTCATCAAGAAGGCCTTATCTGAATTCCATGAACGCTCAAGTCCTGAAATTAGTTGTTACTGACTTTGTGTATCTGCACTTAACAGTGCTTGCCACTGATTTAGGCCATTTAGGCAATTGATTGATGCCCAGCTCCCCTAGAGGACCAGTAGTCCCATGAGAATAAGATCCGTGACATTTTACCCAGGATTTTCTCTCCAGGGCTTTCCCTGCTCTGACTTACAGTAGACACCTAACACATTTTCCAAGAAACAATGAAAGGAATGAACCAATTGAGAAGCCAAACCAGTTATGTTGTTTTTTCATTTTACTCTACAACCGAGGTTGACAAACTGTGACTTGAATGCCAAATTCAGACCATTAGCTAAGTTTGTAAAATAAAGTTTTATTGGAACTCAGCCAGTCCCATTTACTCACACATTCCTGTGACTGGCCTCTCACTATAGAGGCAGAGACAGCTGCAACAGAAACACTATGGCTCACAAAATAGCTATTGCCTGGCCCTTTATGGAAAATTTCCCAATTCCTCCTCTAGATCCTGTGAGGGAAAATTAAGAAAAGGGGTTCTAAGAATAGGAATAATACTATGCTAGCTAACCAATACTTTTTTTTATTAGGCATTTGAAATGCTCATCAATCCTGGAGACAACATCCTCGTAAATGAACCTTTGTTTTCAGGAACGCTTTATGCTGTGAGTACACATTTTTATAAAACAGCAAGTCTCTTACAGTGAACAGAGGAAAGCATTGCACCTTTAGAATATCTGTCACCTCAAAGACACTGCTTGAGAAAAGATTTCTCCTTTTGCTACATTAGTGCTTGATGGTATCATATGTTTAAAATATTTGTGTTTATCACCATCTGAATAGAAACTATAGGTTTCTTTCTGCAAAGCTTCAGGTATTTTTTCCCTAACCACTCTCTTATAGTAAATTCACCTTTATCACTATTTAACAGTTAACATAATGCTTGATTATAGTTCGAAGGCTGACTTGAGTGTGTAAATATGGCATTCATCATACCAAGTTCACTAAGTTCAAAAGTTCCATCTTAAAAAAAAGTGGTTTTTTTGTTTAAAAAAAAAAGTGGTTTTTTTGTTTAAAAAAGCACAACCAGAGTTAAGATCCCCAGGAGGCTGGTGGGAATTGGGCCCACCTATTATTTTAGCTCCAGAAAATGGAATCCTCAGAGCTAGCTGGCTAAGCAACATAAGCCATATCTGAAAGTTCTGTGTTTGATTGAGAGGCCCTGACTCAATAAACAAGGTAGGAGATTGATGGCGGATGATCCCCAACATCAGCCTCAAGCCTCCACAAATGTGCATCCCCACACATGCAAACATGCATCCATATACTTGAAAATGGGGTGGATGGAGGCAATGTACATACTGAATTGCTTCTAGAGAATCTTTGGTTTCCTCAAGTGCAGTGAGGATGTCTGAAAGACTTCACACTTTTTGGTGATTGTTACATTCTGCAGCAAGGAATTACTGCCATCATAAGGTCATGAGTTTAAGAGGTAGAGTGGTGTGTTGTGTTCCCATTCCTCAGTACTGAGCAGAAATGATCCATTTGCGTTGCAGGGAAGAATTTCAGTGTGCATCAGAGGAACTTAAATATTTGGTCTTAATTCAGAAGTTTAACATCACTAGAATAAAGAAAAACTTTGATGTTTAATGTCTCATAAATAGCATTCATATTTATAGCATTATTATAATTTTTAACCAGTCAAGGGTAGGAGTTATGAGAAAAATAAAGAGAGGGTTAAGAATAAAAGTTTTAGTTTAAAAGGAAGTTCAATTAAAAAATTTGATTAAATATATTTTATTTGATCTATGTATTTTGGATCATATTATCAAATTAATTGTTAAGCTGTGATTGAGTTGTTCAAACAAAAGTATTAGTGAGCAAGAATGAGTATATTATTAGTAGTTTTTTGCCATTTGTGCTTTATAGAACTTTATTACCTATGATCTATCATATGCAAAGGAGGCATGTTACCTTATATGTATGCTTATAATATACTTTGATATTTGAAGTGTTATATCCTGGAAAGCCCACTTATATTTCTGGAACAAATTGGATCTTATACAACATTTTTTCCTTGAATTCACATCAATATAAGGATAAAAATAAAACAAACTAAAAATCAGTATCTGTCCACTAAAAATTAGAACAACATCTTTCATTTGTGAACTGGAGAATTGTAAAGGATGTATGTAACATATTAAATGTGCTCTCTACTTCATATATGTATTCTTTGAAAAGAAAATGAATATGCACTAAAGTTAAGCTGTACAAAAATATGTCCAGTTTCTTAATAGTTCATGTCAATTGTGACATAATTTACAAAAACTCGTTTTTTTCATTACCATGTGCCTAAGTATGACTGTGTTATATTTCAATTTACTGTAACTGTTAACTGGCATGCTACAATTAGAAGTTTCTACTCCAGTGCTAAGCCAGTGAGACTGTTACATTCAGAATGAGGAGGAAGACCTCACTGCTGAGGATTAGGTTTGTTCAGGGCACTCCACTTTAGACAGCTATGTTCTCAAACTGAAGCCAGCACAGAGGAGCACAGTTGGAATGAATAAGGATTTGAAAACCATCCAGTGATACAATGAATGGTTATAGAAACTGCAGCAGTTTCCCCCCAAAGAGAGAACACTACAGAAGCTTGGGAATTGTCATCATAACACAGAATACTTAGATTTATTGTCTATGCTGTTAGGATGGTGAAACAAAGGATGGAAACTACAAGATATGATTTCAACTCAGAATAAGAACTCCCTAACCATCCATCTTACCAGCCTACCTACAAAGGAGTGATAGCTAATATTGATTGCCAGCCTAATTATGAGAAGTGCCTAGGATATTAACAAAACACATTTCCATGTGTATCTTTGAAGGTGTTTTACAAACAAGACTGACTCAAAGCAGAGCCCTGCCCTGAAGATGAAGATGTAATCTCCATATCTCTCTCTCTCTCTCTCCCTCTCTCTCTCTCTCTCCCCTACCCCAGAGGAATAATAGGATACAACCTGAGTTCAGGTTTATTACAAGCATAAATAGTAAAGTTCTTAAGTTCTTGATGAGCTTTAAGAATAAAATGGTGCTTGACAATGGCGATGTAAACATGCCTCACTCCTGGGCTTCCTTTCATGCTCCACAGATGCAACCACTAGGCGGCAACATAATTAATGTCCCCAGTGATGAACATGGGATTATTCCAGATGGCCTCAAAAAAGTTCTTTCCAGATGGAAACCAGAAGATTCCAAGGACCCCATGAAAAAGACTCCAAAATTTCTTTATACTGTCCCAAATGGCGACAACCCCACAGGCAATTCACTGACAAGTGATCGCAAGAAGGAAATCTATGAGGTATTTTACAAGACTGTTCACTTTTGACATTTTAGAACCATGTGAGTTTCTTTTCTTATTATCCTCCTGCTTTTAAGGAAGATGGCTTTTAATGAGACTTATCTGTACCAAATATCCTCCTAAATTTGGAAACAATAAATTGCCACACCTTTTACTTCTGAAAGTTTTCTTTTCCCTTAATTGATATTTTTAAACAAAAGAAATTATATTCTTGACATGGTGTTATAAGACTGATACTTGACCCCATGTTTTATTTTCATTATTTGATATTTTTGCTTGTGCTGTATTTTAGACTTGTCATATTTGCTTCCTACTGCTTGTCATTTCAAGTTACAAAGACATCTTTCAAAATAATAGGAGTACTCCTCTTTGTAAAATCTCTTTAGACATCTATGCTGCCTAGTTATTTACTATGCACATTTTTAATATTACACATATGTTGAGTTATATGGAAGTCTTTGAAAAATAAGACAAATATGCCTTTTGTAAAATTTTGCTTCTGTACTGACTTCCTAACCTTTTCCTACAAAGTATTTTTAAGATAAGTTTCAAGCCCATATTTAGCCACATAGAATTTGGTGTTATATAGTAGAATCACAAGCAAGATTTTGACCAATTCCTTTTACCTAGAAAATATAAAGGCTTGATATTATTGCCTTGATATTTTTATACTTTTTCATACTCCCCTGGGCTCTCTCTTGAATTCTCTGCTCTATTTAGATATTACCCAAGACAGCCTCATCCAATTACATGGTTATAAATTTCATTTTCCATGTGACAATTTCCCCATTGCTCAGGCCCATCTCTTCTTTAAGCTCTAATTTCTATTTTAATTTTATTTATTATTTTTTATTTTATGTGTATGTGTTTTGTCTGCATGTATGTAAGTTCACCCATATCATGCAATGCTCACAGAGGTCAGAAGAGGGCATTAGATTCTCCTAGAGCTAGAGTTCTGGATGGTTGTTAGCCTCCATGTGAATGCTGGGAACTAAACCCAGGTCCTCTGCAAGAGCAGTCAGTGCTTTTAATTGCTGAACCATCTCTCTAGCCCCCAGCTCTAACTTCTGTATCCAAGTTCCTATGTGATATCTCCATAGATGTCCAATAGCATTTCAAACTTAACCTAAATGGAACTCCTGCCATTTCCCGCCCCAGCCCAAAGCTCAAATGCAGAAACCCTCCATCCTCATAATTAACGTCCATGAAAAATTACCTTTCATTTCTCTCTTTCTATTCTCTCCTTGTCCTTTCACCCTCCATGTCCAGTGGACCCTGTGGACTCCACCACCAAGTTCATCCAAGTCCATCTATTTTTCCTTCACCATAATTCCTAGCCTACTTCCTAAGCACTATCTGTCCTCACTACGTGGCAACATGACAGTTTCACTCAGCTTGTTGCATCTCACCATTGGTGTGTAACCAGTCACTGCTTACATGACAACCAACCCCAGCAGGTGCCGTAACATAAATGCAGAGCCAGCCTTGTGGCTTTCCTGATCATAGTCTTCCAGTGGCTTCTTCTAGCAGTTAAATTCCTTTATCAAGTTTACAAAGCTGTGTGACACCATCTCTTCTGTTCTCCAGCCTTCTCTCTCTCACACAATTCCTGCTGTGTCCCACATTCCAAAGCCACACCATCCTCCTTCCTGTCTCGGAAACGTGCCACAGGTTTATTGGTCCCAGGATCTTTGCTTTCTCTCATCCCTCAGTCTAGAATCTTCTTCCTTAATACTTGCATAACTAACTGACTCTTGTCATTTTGAGTTCCAGTGTTACCTTGTCAGGACAGCCTCCCCAATAATTGGACCTTAATGACTACTTGATTACCCTGATCAAATATTATCCCTGTTTAATACTCTGCCTAGCATTTAACCCTTACCCCATTCATTATCCACAGGCTTGTGAACATTCTCTTTCCTACTCAAATGTAAGTTCTGTAAGAAAAAAAAAACCCTCACTCATCTCCTTCCTCACTGTCCAGGATAATGGGAACTCAGAAGTAGTTTCTTGAATGAATAAACAAATGAGCACAAAGAATTATGATCCCAAATTATTTTAACTTTAGATCACTTGTAAGAAATAATTGTTACTTTAACCTTTTAGCTTGCAAGAAAATATGATTTCCTCATAATAGAAGATGATCCTTACTATTTTATTCAGTTCAACAAGGTGAGTAATGATGTAGTTTTATGTTACTATTAGAAGATCAGTTGTTGTTACTGTATGCCATTTGAAATTTACCTGGGTTTGAATCAAAGCTATCCAAATTATATTAAATTGAATAAATTGTTACTGAGTTTTAGTTTTTCCATCTTTGGGTTTTACCAGATTTTCTTTTTCATTTTTGGTGTTAATGCTCCTTGTAGAAATTAGTTACTTTCCAAATGACTAGCTAGTTCTCTGAACCATGATTTAGCCAAGCAGAGTAAGTCAGGCTGATGGTCTTGACCTCTAAATCCTTCTTCATAACTCCTTAATCATCATACCAGGGCTGCTAAGTGGGTTTCATCTCGCATAACAGCTTCAGTATTGCAATTGAAATGGCAGAGGAGTACTGGGAAGCTGTATTCAAGATAAAGGAGAAGCAGTGCTGTCCCAAATAATCTTCTCCATATGCACACAGAAGGCACTGCAGCCACATAGTTGCCACCCTTATCACATCTCTGAACCTTATCTGCAGGAACGTGGGGTGACAAATTAATCCTCACTGTATGTGTATGCTATCTTTCATGATAGCTGTTTTCTAACAGGCAGAAGTAGTGATACGAACTAACAATGCCAAACTACTCAAAATCCTACAGAATATGCACTCAGGGCTGCAAAGATCATACACTTGAATTCAGTTCCATTTAAAGGTACCAAGAATAAATAAACATTCTTGATCTGCTGCATGGCTTTCTAGAATGTGATTCTCCCCTGCCCTCCCACCCTCAGCCTGACCATGAACCCCTTTCTCATTTCTCCTTACTTTTGAAGGAAATCTTACTATAAGTACATAGTCTGACTAAATTTCTAGCCTTCATTCCCATCTGTTTTTTATCTTTCTAGTTAGTTAGTTCCAAGGATCAGCTTTGTATTTTTAGACAACCTCAAATGGTGCTGGTCTTCTTAAAAGATCTTTTCATCTTGTACAAATTTGTTTCTCTGAGTTCTTCATCTAAATCTGATAAATCCAGATTTCAATCCCGGAGGCAAGGAGGGTGTGTTTGAAATTTCTCCAAATTCATGGTAATGAAAGCTTGAGCAAATAAAGGAGCTTTTGTGAGTGTGTTTGAACCCTGAGGACAGACAGACGCTAGTAAAAGAACACACACATCGCAGGCCGTAGGCCAAGACAAAGGTAAGACACGCCTGACCGGTTACGTGCCAGATCTGTGCATGTATGCTTGCTCTACTCTGCAGAGTAACGGTGACTCACAGAGTTTGCAAATCAACAGTAATCTTCTTCCTATTTTAAGCCCTGGGCACCAACCTTTCTCTCCATGGATGTTGATGGGCGTGTCATCAGAGCTGACACCTTTTCAAAAATCCTCTCCTCTGGGTAAGGTTCATATCTCTAACATGAAGCTAGCCTCAAAATCTTTAGTCCAAACAATGCTTCTCATTTCAATACTTCTCATTTCTTGCCTGGAAATACACTTGATGGTTAATAGGAATGTAGACATCTAATCTCTTTATCCATCTCCAGTGGTCAAAGATGCTCAGCCATTAGTCTAAGTTGTAGAAGGGTGATCAGCATTTGGGCAACTTATATTAGAGATTATGTTTAGAAACACTTGGTAATACTTGCATTGTTTATATATGTGTACTTAAAATTAAATATTTCCAAAGTAAGAAGTAGTTTTGTTAGAATGTTTAAATTATCAAGATCCATTTGTCACCAAGTCATCATTTTTTTCCTAATGAATTCAGCAAAGTGACTCACATTATTTTTTGATATGGGGTTGATATGAAGCCTTTTGTCTTGCTGTGTAGGTTGAGAGTAGGATTTATGACTGGTCCCAAAGCCTTGATACAGAGAATTGTTTTACACACACAAGTTTCATCACTTCACCCCTGCACTTTCTCACAGGTAAGTACAATTTGGGAAATAAGATTTGTTTTTACATCAGATCAGGGCATAAAGTAAATGGACAAGTATGATTAACTTAAGATGGCAGGGAACAAAAGTTAAATGTGATTCTCCATTTCTAAAACAAAATTAGACGACTGGAGTCTGGAGAGGCACAGTACAAATGGCAAGTGAGAAATCAATAAACCTAGTGCTGTCACACAGCCTGACTCAAACTCCTTGAAAATTAGGGCATTACACCCATCTTGTGCCCCTAGGAGAACTCCAAATTTAATTAATTAATACAATTCTTAAAAATCTTTGTGAACTGAACAAAACAGAATGGAATTTGATGAGGTACTATGAACTTTAGCTTCATTGTCTTGGAATCTATAATGACAGCAAGACACCAAAACCTGTCCAATGACTCATCATCTGCCTTCGTTATACATTCCTCAGATACTCCTAAAGACATTCATCAGAACATATTTTAATTAAAGTTAACTAGGGAGATTGCATAAATTTCCTCCAAAGCTTTAAAAAGGTATTAGATAGATGTGGAAATTGTTGTAATTGTGAGAATGAGATTGTATATGCATGTATGTATGTGTATGTTCATGTGGATGTGCAAATGTGGATGTGGTGAGCATACTAGTGTCTGGGTATGTGTGTGTAGGTTAGAGGTCCACTTTGGATGTCATCTGCAACTGTTTTGCACTTTCATTTTTGAGTCAAGGTGTCTCCATAGACCTGGACCTCATAGAGTCAGCTACATTGGCTGGACATAGAGCCCCAGGGATCCTCCCGTTCCACCTCCCCTGTGCTAGGATCACAGGCTCATGCTGTTACACCATGCTTTATGTGTAGGTACTAGGGATTCAAATTCAGGTCCCACTGTGTTCTAGTTTGCTTTCAATTGCTGGGACAAAATACTCTGACAAATACCAAAGTGGGGAGGAAAGGGTTTCTTGGCTCACAGCTCCTGGGTCACAGTTCATCACTGAGGCAGCCCAAGGTAGGAACTCAGAGCAGGAACCTGGAGGCAGGAGCTGAAGCACAGGCCATGGAGGAATGCTGCTTACTGCTTTGCTCCCCTAGCCCATGCTCAGCCTGCTTTCTTCTACAGCACAGGCCCATCTGCCCACCCACAGTGGCACCACCCACAGTGGGCTGGGCCCTCCCACATCACTCAACAATCAAGAAAATGCCCCACAGACATGGCTATAGGCCAGTCCAATGGAGGCAGTTCCCCAGTTGAGGCCCCTCCAGCCAGGTGTGTCAAGTTGACACTGAAGCTACCCAGCACACCCTGCTTGCATGGCGTACACTTTACTGACTGAACCATCTCTCAACCCTCAAAATGAAAAGTTTGCATCTCATAGGACATTTGTTGTATGTTGTACTTTTTTTTTTTTTTTTTTTTTTTTTTTTTTTTTTTAAAACACGATCTCCCTGGAACTCGCTATGTAGACCAGGCTGACCTTGAACTCACAAAGATCCGCCTGCCTTTGTCTCCCCAGTGCTGGGATTAAAGGCGTGTGCCACCACACCGGGCATGTTGAACATTCTTATATAGATATAAGCGTGTTTTTAAAAATTGGGAACTTTTCCCATACACTTTATATCTGCTTTCAACAGAAGTTCATTGTAACATTTAGACTTCCCATTTTAAACAGAAAACCTCTAAATATTTTTGTATATTTTCATTGTATTTTTGGGTTTTCCATATACAACATCTTAATCATCTTTATACCCCCTTCCCAGTGTGCAGGCTCCCATACCCCACACACTGTATTTCATGCATTCTGTCATTTATGTTAAGGCCTATCGAGTCAAATTAGTGTGCCCAGATGTCTGTCAGTACAGGTTCATCCACTGGGGTCTGGTCAGCCTATCTAGAGTCACTCCCTTAAAGAAGGTCAGCTCTTCCTCACCCAACAGTTATCAGCTGCTCACTAGTTCTTGGGCTAAGAGTGGGTCCAACTACCCATTTCCACAGTTCTATGTTAGGTTTTTGTCTGTTTGAGTTTGCATGGGTCTTGTGCATGCTGTCACCATTGCTGTGAGTTCATATAAGCAAGGACCCAGGAACATGTAAGGCTCTATTTCCCTATGGTCATGCACCTCCTCCTCTGGCTCTTACAGTCTTTCCACCCCCTCTTCCTCAATGGTCCCTGAGCCCTGGGTGGGTGAAGTATAATATAGGAGTCCTATCCAAGGACCCACACTCTGAAGAATCTTATTTTCTATGCTTTGGCCATTTGTATTTTTGTGTTCATTGCCCTCTGTTGCATGAGGGAGCTTTATTAATGAGAACTGAGAGATGCATTAGTATTTTCTCTACCCCCTTGTTCCACTATGTTCCATGAGCCTTAGGTGACCCTCTAAATATTTTATAGAACTTGATATATCTGGCATATATTTTGAGGGAGTGGGTATATAACTCAGGCACAGAATATGTTTAGCAAGCACTTGGTCTTGAACACTTACATGATGAGAGAGACAGACAGACAGACAGAGACAGAGACAGAGAGGGGCAGAGACAGAGACAGAGAGACAGAGACAGAGAATACTATACAATTTCTCAAATTTAGAGAGGCATTATAGTCTGGTAACTGATAGTATGGGCCTAGAACTGGATAATCTGTCTTTGAATTCAAGCTCTATAACTAGCTGTTTAACATTAAGAAAATTAAACTAGCCAGGTGGCATGGTGGTACATACCTTTAATCCCAGCACTTGGGAGGTAGAAGCATGCAAGTCTCTGTGAGATAGAGGCCAGCCTGGTTCCCATACCAGAAAGAAAGAAAGAAAGAAAGAAAGAAAGAAAGAAAGAAAGAAAGAAAGAAAGAAAGAAAGAAAGAAAGAAGAAAGAAAGAGAGAGAGGGGAGAAGGGAGAGAGGGAGAGAGGAAGAGAGGAAGAGAGAAAGAGAGAGAGAAAGGAAAGAAGGAAGGAAGGAAGGTCTGCTTTGAGAGCTCTCCTTCCAGGAGAGGGAGGGAGGGAGGGAGGGAGGGAGGGAAGAAGGAAGGAAGGGAGGGAGGGAGTAAGGAAAGAGAAGAAAGTTAACATGTATTTCACTTTCCTTATCAGTAAAACAGAAATAACCTACTTAATATTTTATTATTATGAATATTCAATTAGACAAATCTATTAATAATTTACAGTAGTACCTAGCATGTTGTCTGGCATGTAACAAAGTTCTGTAATGGAATTTGTTTTTCCGTGTGTGTGTGTGTGTGTGTGTGTGTGTGTGTGTGTGTGTGTTTGGAATTTGTTTTTCCGTGTGTGTGTGTGTGTGTGTGTGTGTGTGTTGATTTATGTGTGCGTGTGTATGTGGAGGCCAGAGGTCAACATCAGGCATCTTCCTCTGTATCTCATCACCTCTGCATCTCTCCACCCTACTTTTTTGAGACAAGGTCTCTCACTGAACTTGGAACTTGCCACTTTGGCCAGACTAGCTGCCAGTAAGCCTCAAGGATTCTCCTGTCTAATCCCCATCCCCAGCACTAAAGTTACAGGTGCACACCACCATGCCCAGGTTTTTACATAGTTACTGAGGTCCGAATTCAGGCCCTCATGGATATGTAGCAAGCACTGACCAATTGAGCCTACCTACTGTTGTTGACATAGTCATTAATTAAAATTTATTAAAGTTTCCAGTATTATTTAGGCTCACTTGTTCTATCTTTCTGTAGTGGCTCACATGTAATCAGAATTGATTTGCCTCTATGTCTGGAAAATGCCAACCCATTTTGAGAATGAACCATTATATTACTGCTTTTCTGTCTCTTTTAGCTCCTGATATCACAGCTTCTACACAAATGGGGAGAAGATGGCTTCCTGGCTCATGTTCACAGGTACTAAGTCATTTGGGAGCCCAAGAGACAAAGTACAGAGCATCCGGAGTACTGATTTAATATTCTTCCTTTTTAAAGATTTATTTTTATTTTATGTATATGAAAGTTTGCCCACATGTATATACATGCATTATATACCTGCCTGGTGCTTGCAGAGGCAAGAAGAGGGTATCTGATCCCCTGGAACTTGAGTGATAATGGCTGTGAGCTGCCATGTAGATGCTGAGAACCAAACCTGGGTCCTCTGCAAAAGCACCAAGTGCTCTTGAGCGCTGAGCCACTTCTCCAGCCCTCTTATTCTCCCTTCTTAAGTGTCCAAAGACCCACAAAAGAAACAGTCTATTAGAAGCCAAAGTCTGTTCATTTTAGTTGCTTTTCACCTAAAAAGTCTTCCAAGAACTGCCTAGACTCATTGTCTACCCACACCAATAGTGATCTGAAATTCCCAGATTGAGGATTCACTAGTTTAGATGAAAACTATCCATATACATATCTACTTTATTTGATCATCAACTGTAAAGGACACAGGATATGGGAACTGGCTCTAGTTTGGATGAGTGAAAACGATTTGCCTAGTTAGTATAATGGGGAAAATTATGAGCTACTTTTGTTATGTAAATATGGTACCTCCTGGACCATTGAGAAATAAAGAGAAACGGCATTATTCCCAGACCAATGACTCTTAATTTTAATAGTGTTTTCTTTAATCTCAAGTGTTCTCCTATTCTGAAAATGACAATTATTTAAGACAATTGACCACAAAGATGGATACTGTTTCTTCTGCTACATTTAAATTCCATACTTTATATGAAAATGGATTTTTTGTTCTACTAATTTTTATTCTTTAATTTCTCTACAGTAAAGGGAGAAACATAATGGTTTAAAATGTCTTCCATGAGACAATCAAAATATTACAATGTTCTTTTATGAAGCATTCAACATTTAATCAGAACAAAATAACAAATTCTTACAGGTTGGACTCTGGAGCTCTTTTGTCCCTGTGGTCAGTGTCCTGAATTCATCTTTGTTATCTTCTTCTTCTTCTAGAGTTATTGATTTCTACAGGAACCAGAGGAATGCAATATTGGCAGCTGCAGACAAATGGTTAAGTGGTGAGTGAGGAGCATCTGACCTTAAGATAAACAATAGCATCTCTAGAGCAGATGGCCACATGTGATCAACAGCCCTGGTAGGGAGAGAGACAATAGCATAGGAACAGTCTTGCTGAGGAAATGTTGCCCTTAGAATAATCTCACAAGTAACATGCCATCAACCCTTGAGTTCTACCCATCTCTGCCATCTGCTGCAGGAGTTTTGTTGTTGTTAGGATTTCCCTTTTTCTTTTCTTTTTTTTTTTAAGACAGGGTCTCACATAGTCCAAGCTCGCCTTGAACTCACTATGTAGCAGAAGATGATCTTGAACTTCTGATCCTCTTGCATCCACTTCCCAAGTGCTGAGGTTGCAGATGTACACAATTACCCCCAGTTGATGAGATGCTGGGGATGGAACCCAGGGTCTCACGCACAGAGGCAAGCACTCCACCAGCTGAACTACATTGTTAGTCCCAGATTTTGTGGTTCTAAGAAAAAAAAGTTCAGTCAGAATATCAATTAGCAATATTACCTGAAGCTAAGTAAAATCTCAAAAACTTTCAGAAATGTTTGTTTCAAGATGTTCCCCCAAATCAGTATTGTTTATATATACAAAGCAGATCTCTAGTTGCAAGTTCCTTGCCTCCACCTCATTAACCACACATATCTGAGTAATGGTTTCTATTGCTTCTTTGAATGCAGGATGATTTTTGTTTTTTCTTATGAAAGAATGTCAGATAAATTACCTGGCTTTAATTATACCATCAAAAGTACCTTTGATGTGAAGATTAATAAACATATAAATTCCTTATTTCTGTTGGCACTAGTTCTAAGTAAAGTCTTCACTATAAAAACATAATAATTATCTGTATGATAAGAATACTCTTCTAGGCCAGGCATGGTGATACACACCTTTAATCCCAGAACTCAGGAGGCAGAGGCAGATGGATCTCTGTGAGACAGAGACCAGCCTGATCTATATAGTGAATGCAAAGCCAGCTGGAGCTACAGGGAGATCCTACCTCAAAAAGACCAAGAAATGAAATCTTTAAAAAATAAAATAAAATAAAAATGAATACTTTTCTACCACTTTGTATAGCAGTGCTGATTTAAAAAAAATCATAATGGCAAGTTTTTCTTAAATAATAACTGAAATCAAAATCTTTACCCTTAGTTTCTCTATCCTAACACTCAAACATAAAGCTCACAAATGCATCTAGAATTTTTGAATTTACACACTTTTCTAATCAATTACATTCTAATAGAAGTTAATCCACTTGGACTTCCAAACTATTACATAAGTAATGGTATTTATGAAATACCAGAAAGAACTGAGGAATCCTCTTGTAAAATTAGAACAGCCATTTGTCTTTGTGTAAGTGTGAGTCTAGTCATAAGAGAGATGCACTACATCTCCTGTGAGTCTAACCATATGGAAGAGAGGTGCACTACAAAATTTTGCTCTCTGGGAAGACTAACCACACTCACTGTGCACACAGGAGACTGTCTCCCTGTGAGCCTCTTACCCCTACTACTGACTTTTTGAACTAAAACCAGAGCACAATTTTGGGGTCTCATCAAATTATATTTTAAAATGCTCTCACTGAAAGAACTTTTTGGGGATGTACTTATGTATAACCACTGCACCTGTGTCATGTAAACAAATGTTTGATGTCATCAGAAATGACTCTAGATGGTGCTTTCTTGTTTTGTTTGTAGGTTTGGCAGAATGGCATGTTCCCAATGCTGGAATGTTTCTGTGGATTAAAGTTAAGGGCATTCCTAATACAAAACAACTGATTGAAGAAAAAGCTATTGAGAAAGAGGTAAAAGTGGAAGGTGGGTGGACAGGATGGTCTCAAGGAAAGTGGGCTTTTCTTTAAAATAATTTATCTTTGAATAAAATGAAAAGGTATTTTTTGTTGTTCAGCAACTTAAGGTGTTGAACTATGTTGTCTAATCATTAAAATTATGATAAATTCTGCAGTTTATTTAGCTAAGCTAAAGTGATGGAGAGATAGTAATTCATCTCATGATGCATGAATCATGACTAGACTCGTGTCCAACTGCAGATGTGCTCTTTGGGTTTGATTTCAGTTTCACCCATTACGATATATGTGGCTTTGAGTAATTTACCACTTACCCTTCTTATGTTTATCAATAAAATAGAATAAGAATCCCTTCCCTAGGCCAGCAAGATGGTCCAGTGGGTAAAGGTGCTTGTTCTGTGAGCCTGGTGACCCACCTGAGCTGGATCCCTGGAACTCACATAAGGTGGAAGGAGAGAAATAATTCCACAGACTTGTTCTATGACCAGCATGTGCACACCATGATATGAGCGCCCACACATAAGCACACGTGCATAAATAAATAAATAATTTTAATAAATTCCTCCTTCATCAAGTTGCTATGATGATTAAACAGCATCTGTAAAAACTAGTATCTGTCACTTTAAAATACCTGGCACACAGTAAATGTTCAGTAATCATTGCCAATAGTAGTTAACATGGAAGGATTTTTCCTGATCATGAAAATAAAGTATACCCATTATAGGAAATTTGGAAGATTCACAAAAACACAACAAAAACTTTTAAATAGCACATCAACTTTACACTCAGATTTTGTGACCATCTGTGTTGTAATTTCTAGAAGAGCTTACATATAGATTCTTGCTTTTTGACTATACTGTCATTTTGCATGGCTAAAACTACACGCAATGTTTATGTCCTGATGATTTTTTTCACCTAAAATTTAGTTCCACCGGTTTGTTTTCCCCCTTCCATATTCCTAGAGTTCACTTGAAAGCACTGAGTTAACTGAAAATTCTAAATGCAATTTTCTGTATAGCATTCCAACTGACCAAATAAGTTGTCCCTTCTCTGAGGTCATCTCTGTAAGCCAAGACCTGTTCCCAGAATTACTTTTTTCTTGACAGTACTATTAAAAAGAAAATATGAGCCGGACATACCTTTAATCCCAGCATTTAGGAGGCAGAGGCAAGCGGATCTCTGTGAGTTTGAGGCCAGCCTGGTCTACATAGCAAGTTCTAGGTCAGCTGGGGCTACAGGGAGACCCTGTCTCAAAAAGACCAAAAAAAGAAAATATGGAGTTGACCTTGGCAAAGCACCAAAGTACCATGCCAGTAGAGTAGAGACAAGCTGCCCCACAATTATATTTAGAGATAGACTGCCCAGCAAGGTTAGTATCTTCCCTAACCATCTCACTTGAGGGCAAGACTCATGCTTTACTCATCTGCTAATCCTAGTAGCAGCACACAGTAGGTACTACTATCTAGCTGACTTATCTCAAATACATTTAATACAGGTTGATTTGATCTTTTCTTCAGTTTTCTTTTTTCAGTCAATGTCATGATTGTCAAAACTTTTGGTATATGGACATTTGAATGTATCCCTGAGCTGAGTGCTAAGGAAGTAGATTGAAATAGTGTCTGCTTTTCCCAAACTCTTCATTTATTCTATATATCTAACTATAATCTCCAACTTCATCACACTGCCTTACCCCAGGTTTTAGCCCACTTCCTCCTTTTCTTTTAGGTCTAGCCCATCCCCAAACATCTCCAATACATTGAAAAGATGATGGCTTTCATATCTTGTTAATCAGGAAAAAGAAACTCATCTTCTGCCTGACATCTTTACCCTAGAGTCCACCAAACCATTTCATTCTGAATTCATCTTGTAAACAGCCCAGACTTATACCATGTAACCAAAACCAATTCATGTTTTTCAGGATCAAAATTATACTAGTTGATATTAATTGCTACAAAATATAAACTCCTAAATCTCCAAGACTGAAAACAATAGAAATTTATGTATAACTCACATAAAAATCAAAACCATGATCTGCAGCGCTCCAACAGTAATTCAGAGATTCTGGTTCCTTCTATCTCTTTGGTCTCCAATCTTAGCATTGCTACCAAATAGAAAGAGCAGGGTGGTTCACACATGGAAACATTTTTTGTAGGCATCCAGAAGTAGCGTCCAAAATTTTGGCTTACATCTGTTAGTCAAAATTTGCTCAATAGTCCACATAGCTAGAAAGAGGCTAGGGGGTGCTGAAGGTGTCACTCAGTGGCAGAATGCATGCTTAGCATGTGTGAGGTCCTGGGTTCAGTCCCCAAAGTGAAGAAGGAAGGAAGGGATTAAAGAAGAGAAAGAAGGAGTCTCTTTCTCTGAAGGAAAAAAAAAAAACCTTATCAAGGATTAAACAGAGCCTAAGGACTGTCCATCTAGAAATTCAAGACAAGGGTTAAACAGAGCCTAAGGACTGTCCACCTAGTAATTCAAGACAAAGAACTCTACTGATAGAGCAGAGCCTTTGAGCTTCAGAAAAGTTTAGACTTGTGCTGGGAGATGGCTTCTTATGCATTTCAACCTTTACAAAGATCCATAGGTGACTGAGCCAATAGTATTACTAGTGTTTGTTACATTACAGAAATGCTTAAGAAAAAGGCAAGCAGTGTCAGGGAATAAAGTATATCTGTGTGCCCAGGATGAAGAGGAAACAGAGTGTCCAGTCAGTGAGTTATCCCTGCTGCCATGGTTATAAGACCAGTTGCTTGTTCTCAGCACCCCATCTTGACATACATTTTTATCCCCTTACTTTATGTATTAAACATTTTATGTTCTATCTGTTTCCTTAAGTATTCCATTTTCTTCCTATCTCAGGGCCTTTAGAGTCCAAAGCTTCTCTACAAAATATTGGTCCCCACTCTGCTAGTTCAACATCTAGTTTTCTTTCAGGTTCCAGTTAAAAATCACTTTAAAATTGTATACCTTGAGATGGTATCTCATTGTTTGAATTCATAATATTTTTTAGTTAGGCTAGACATTTATTTGTATTTTATCATTTCTTTACTAAGCTGTCTTTGTACATTAAAACTTAAATTTTGTGTTTTTCTTATCAGTTTCTATGCATTCTTCATATGTAAAGAAATAGCACTGGTCAGTTTATGGTGAACATTTTCTCAGATTCTATGCACTTGGGTTTCTTTACTGCATGCTGTATACAGTTTTCATATGAACTGCTTTCTTTTCAATTGTGTTTTATTTCTTTAATGGCTTTTAAGATTAAAATGTCCTTTCCCACAATGATAGTAGCCTGATGCATTTAAAATTTTTTTCTTCAATGGTTATATCATTTATTTTCACAACCTTTCATAGGTCTTATTGATTCCTGGAAATGCTTTCTACATTGATAGCTCAGCTCCAACCTCTTACTTTAGAGCATCCTTCTCTGTAGTTTCTCCAGAACAAATGGATTTGGTGAGTATTTTGTTCAGAGTAACACAGGCTCCTATTTCTGATTTTTGGTATGTTTGTATTTAAATTAGAACATTATATAATGTCTTCTTAAATTTCAAAAAACCAGATAGTGGTTTTGAACCAGTCATGAACTTGCTAAATGTCCCTTTCATGTTGTTGCTGGACTTCTGTAGGCAAATGAGACTAAACTGGAGTTAAAGTTTGTTGTCTTCATGAATAACTTGTCAAAATGTACTGGGAGATTTCCCACATGTGCTAGGACAATACCCTTTCCTTCCTTCGTGAGATAATGTGAATAAATGCTGCAAATACATAGGCCTTCAGTCTTTTTCTGAAGAAGAAAAAAAACCTTAGCAAGGATTAAACAGATCCTAAGAACTGCGCCATCTACCTGTTGATGGAGCAGAGCATCTGACCTTCAGAACAGTTTAGATTCATCCTGGGAAACATGCTTCTTACGTGTTTTCTCTTTACTTTCTTTCTCCTGCTATTTATCTGCTTTTTCATAAGTTCTCTCTGCTCATAGGAATATATTTAGCAGTTCAAAATGTATAGAATATATTTGCATATGAGCGATTATATGAAAATATTAAATATTTACACTGTGGACAAAATAGAAACTGATGAGCAAGCAAGAAGTTTCTAAGAACCAAAAAAAGTGGTGGGCCGGTCCAAGTCTGGGAACTATTGGAGACTGATTACTACTGGGTGAGGGAGAGTAGACCTTACGAAAGATCTCTAGATAGGCTGACTGGACTCCAGTGGATGAATTTGCACCAAGGACATCTGGGTACAAATACTTGACTGGATAGGACTTAACATGTATGGCAGAATACATGAGGTCCGGTAGCAGGGGGATGTGGGAGTAAATGGATGGGGGAGGGGGTATAAATTTGATTAAGAACTGTAGTATGAAATGTACAAAAGCTCAATAAAATTTTGTAATCTTGGAAATTTATAAGCTTGAAGGACACTTATCCATGTAGCTCAGTAGGCAGGTATGGTATCCTGCCCAGATAAGGCTGATGCCAAACTTGACTCTTTACTGTCTCATCTCAACTTCATATGAATGTCTACTTGAATTTCTAAAGTGATGATGAACTGTCCCAAAGTTATACCCTAATTTCATCAATTCTTTTCTTTCCTATTTTAGGCCTTCCAGAGATTGGCCCAAGTCATAAAAGAATCATTATGAAGAAATCAAACTAAGCATTATTCTCAGGATGTTTTGGATAAATTATTTCTATGACTTTGCTGGAAGAAATAATTGTTAATATTCGACTAATAGAATGGAGTCATCAAACATGTCTGTGTGTCTGTAGTAATTTAACTGAACAACTTTAAGGTGCCTTTAGATCCACCATACTGCCAAGATGTTGTTTTCCCTCTCCTTTGCCTTTTGATTAATCTGACTCCTACAAAAGATTGTTTTTGTCTTCAATTTTATTGTAAAGAACTCTGTAGTTGCTTTATAATAGCCAATAAATTTTTCTTAAAAACTAACATATTACACTAAATTATTTTTCAGATTGTAAGGAAATTGGTTCAAAGTGGCATATAATATGTAATTTTCTACTTATAGGGAAATGTAATGAAAGCCTATTGAAATGTTTTATAATTTGACCATTCTACTTATAGGGAAATGTAATTAAAGCTTATTGAAATGTTTTATAATTTGACCATTATATTTTAGTAAGAGTATCACAGACCTTATGTGACATGACAGACATCTGTCTAGAATTGAAACCCTGAAATTAAACATGACAAAAGGCATCAGACCTGTTAGTTTTGAGTAAGAAAGGGAAGATGGTGGGTTCAGACACTTTTACTGCATTGTATCCCCATAATGTTACACAATTTACTAAAGTCCAACTTACAAAATTTATGTAACTGGAGTCTCTTGTACCCTTTGAGGTGTTAGCACATACTTTAAAAATATTTTTCTCGTGCTGGTAGTCTAGTGGTAAGCACAGCTGCCTTCCAAAATATTTTTCTCATTTTTAAAACCTTTTCCCCTTCAGTTAGGTGAGGTAATATAGTCTCATCCTAAATTTACAATCAACCCAGAAAGCACAGGAGTAAAGTAAAACCATTCACTAGCTCACCCCCACTGATCCTGATTATCAGCCTATGTCACTCTTCTTTTAAGATACTTCCTGTGCATACACATGAAATAAGAGAACAGGAGCCACAGTGACATAAGTACCCTGCATTCGTTTTTCTATCACTGTTCAGCAAGTTACCACAGAGTTTCAAGATCCAGCAATTGTAAGCTTATGTGTCCCTTAGAAGAATTAGGAAGTGTATATCGTAGCTACCTCTCCATCACTTGTCTGTATGAACATCTCCATCAAGCTTGCTATCTTCCTGACATCTGGAGAAGATGACACATCTTCTAACAGCTTATAGTCTTGGGCCAAAACCTCTGCCTCAAAGGTCAAGACAGCTGTGCCCATGTTCCAGTCCTGTTTCTAAGGGTAGTTGTTTCTTAATTTAGAAGGATTAGTCCACAAACCCAGCTACTTCTCTTGTTTCTTACTAGAGCACAATCCTTTTCTAAGGCCATCTAAATATCATTGTACCATAGACTTGCCTCTAAAAAAACAACAAAAAAAAGACTAAGACAGCAGGAAAAGGGGGCTAAATAAGGCATTCAGGATGACAGAAATATGGATTCAGAATCTTGAGAAAACTGTCACATTTACAATGCTATCTATCTACTTATGGGAGAACATTCTCTAATCATCTTTAACATATGGTCTTCAACTAGTGTACCATTTGTTATTCAGAGTATAGTCCTTCCAGTGGCCATTTCATAAGAGGCCAGTCAGTTCTGTGTTTTCCAGTGTGTGCAGCTCCGATTGTCATTAAAGACAAAAGTAATCCTCTGGCCAAAAGTAATCAAATTGATTTAGTTAAGTTTGTCATTTCAGTTTTGAAAATGCCATTTTTCCTCTTAACCTTTACAAAAAGCCAAAGGTGATAGGGCTAATAGTATTGCTAGTGTTTGTAATGCATTGTATTTTATCCAGTAAAATGCTTTCCTCTGTCACTGGAGATTTCTCCAGAGGTGCCCCATGAAACAAATACATTTCTTAACAACTCCTGAGCTACCATCATGGCATCATCTTTCCTACATGAGAAAGCTTCTGAACCACAGCTTCTTAAACAGTGAGTCATGACCCCCCCCCAATATGGGGTCATATGTGGGAATTATGAAAAAGGACAACCGTGAATATTCTGAATGTACAGAAACCAAGCATTAATTCAAAACCAAATTCACAATGAATCCAAGGTGCTTCTGCAATCATTCACCCATGCTGCAGAAATGCAGCACATGCTGTGCTCACTTTGCATTTTGCATGGTCATCATACCACAGAATGCCACAGAATGCCAGTGTATGCTGCCTGAAACACCTATGTTCAAATTTAAGAGTGCTGTATTACTGTGTTACAGTGTTTTTAATGTGAATTCAAAAATTTCTGTTCTCATAGAAATATAATGGTTTTACTAAAGGAAACAAAAACTTTTAATATTTCCCTACCATTATTCCTCACGTGTATCAACTTGTTTACCTTTGGATTGTATTGTTAGAATGGTTGATTTAAAATTTTGTGGTTGAGGGGCTGGAGAGATGGCTCAGCGGTTAAGAGCACCGACTGCTCTTGCAGAGGACCAGGGTTCAATTCCCAACACCCACATGGTATCTATGAACCTTCCTTAACTCCAATTCCAGAGGAATTCTAAGCCCTCTTCTGACCTCCACAGCACTGCACAACATGGGTACACTCACATACATGCAGATAATACACTCATACAAATAAAATAAAATTAATATTTTAATTTTAATTGAGTTGCTCACCTGAGTTTCATAAATATCATTTTATGAATTTTGACTTAAGATTAGGACATAATTTCCAAAACTTTCTGAAATGGTTCAAAATATACATCTGCTATTTTGTACTCCATACTTCGGCAAAGTAGTATTCTCAGTATTGATGATTATAAAATATTGAGCAACTCTGAGAAACACTGAAAATGTTGTATATTCTTTATATGAGAGAAAGTAAGCACATCCATCTCATCAGTATGCAAATTTTCTCTCATCTTCAATCAGTGATAAAATTACATGTGTACCAAAAAATCATAGTTAAACAAATGTCCTTATGATTTATTACCAGTCAATGCTTGATTTACATGCTTATTCTACATATCTATAGACCCAGGGTGATACAAAATTTCCTCTGGCCAAATGAGGTTGTGAGAGGAAGAAGTTTAAGATGCCCTGTTGGGTATACCCAGAAGACATGCTGACTGTTAGAATGCCCCATTGAGAGTGACAACTGGACGAAGTCCTATAAATGTCGAAATTGTCCATGATGCATTGAAATTCATCATCAGGCATTTTTATTGCCTTTCCCAGTTTATGAATTTAGCAAAAGAAGCATTTATTATAAACCACGTTATCAGTTCTAGAGCAGTCACTCTGTGTGCTGGATAGCTCTAGTTGTCAACTTGACACACTGAGAAGAGGGACTCTCAATTGAGGAACTTGCCTGTGGCCGTGTCTGTGGGTCATTTTCTTGATTGTCGAGTGATGTGGAAAGGTCCACCCCACTGTGGGCCGTCCCATCCCTGGGCAGGTGGTCTTACGTTGTATAAGAAAGCAGGCTGAGCACAGGACAGAGGAGCAAGCCAGAAATCAGTGTTCCTCCATGGTCTCTACTTCCACTTCGGCCTTCAGGTTCCTGCCCTGAGTTCCCTTGGCTTCCCTTGATGGACTGTGCTATAAGCCAAATAAACCCTTTCCTCCCCAAGTATTTTGGACCTCTTCCGGAGCTCAGTAAAGTTACATTTTCTAGTCTTCCAGGTAAGATGGTAGACTACAAGCTGCCTCAGGAGAAGGAAAAATAGACTCTATTCCAAAGAGAGAGAGAGGAAGAGCTTCAGAAACTCACAAAGGGAATAATAGGACAACTGAAAAGTATGCAGATAAAAGAGAAGGGCAACACACTAAAAAGAAAGCCGAATTGAACGTGGCTCCAACCACAGAGCTCCCTGACAGAGGGAGGAAAAGGAGAAGGCTCACCCAAAAGATAAACCAGGTGGCTAGTGAAAAAAGACTGGCAGCCCCACCCTCAGGACCAACCCACAGCTCTCGCAAGCCTCAAATCCAGCTGTGGGTCTTACTTAGAAAATGAATTCTCCAAAAGGACATGTCAGCAGTACAGAAGAGTTCCCCCAATTCAGAGATCTATGACCAGGCACCATCTTGGAAGAGAACCTATCTAAAACTGAGCTACCTCAGGGTCTTCCAAACAGAGCGCTATCATGAGTCAAGGAGCCAGTATTCAACCTGACACAGCCATAGAGAAACAGCCTTGGGAGGAAATTACAGTGAGTGGTTGGGTCTGACATTGACTAGTAAGAAGCAGAAGACTGAGTCCAGACACTGGAGCTTAAGAGGAAAGGTAGCCCAGCCTTCAGGGCCTGCGAGCCAACCTCATCAAATAAGAATAACTCTAGAGTCTGACAGCCTTAAGCCTGAGAACAGCAGGTGGTCAGTTCCTGGAGCAACCTGTCTGCCCTGAGGTTTTTACTGTGAAAACTCGGATGCTCCAGTGAAATACTTGGCATTCCATAGCCTAGTCCCTCCAACAGAGTGATTCTGGCTCGCCTGTACATCTCAGTGCTGTCATTTTCCACACACACGGAGGATATCCCACTGAAAGAATATTATCCAACTCAGGAAATATGAACTGGGGAATCTCAGAAGTTTTGGAGAAGTCTTCCCAGCAAAATAGATTGCAAAACTAAGTGCAACCAAACAGCAATACAGAGCCTCCAAACAACAACAGCAACAGCTCAGGACCAGATGGATGCAGTGCTGATCTAATGTGCCTCAAACTGTTCCATAAAATAGAAAGGAATGTGTCCTAGTTTGTTTCTTCATTGCTGTGACAAAACACTCTGACCAATACCAACTTGGGGAGGAAAGGGTTTATTTAGCTTACATCTCCCAGGTCACAGTTCATCTGGGAGCCCAAGGTAGGAACTCACGGCAGGAACGTGGAGGCAGGAGCTGGAGCACAGGCCATGGAGGAACACTGCTTACTGGCTTGCTCCCCTGGCCCCTGCTCAGACTACTTTCTTATGCAACACAGTCCTACCTGCCCAGGGGTGGCACAACCCACAGTGGGCTGGACCCTCCCACATCACTCAACAATCAAGAAGATGCCCCACAGACATGGCCACAACCACAGGCCAGTCCAATGGAGGCAATTCACGAATTGAGGCTCTCTCTACCCAGGTGTGTCAAGTTGCTAACTTGTGCTAGATACACAGTTGACCCTTTGTCAACTTGACACACAAACACATCACTATGAAACTATAACCTTTCCATTTCTGTACCCAATATATGATAACAATATCACAGCATAAGACAGTACAACCTTAAAAGTCCCACAGTCCTTTAAAAGTCTAAGTACTTAAAAGTCCATAG